CGGCTGACGTTCTAATTCTTAACCAATTAAAAAATTTTTTTAATTTGCTCGAAATTAAATGAGCTATAAGTACATTCTGCGTAAATTTTGATTAAGGTTCAATTAAAAAATCAATCTAATATTTGTTATCATATAATTTTGAGTTTTTTTCTGTTCATTTCATTAGATCGGCAATCAAGAGACATGGCAGTGACTCGCGCCAAGTAGGCGCGCAGTGTGAGATCGCCCCGTGTCTTTTACGTGAGTCAGCGAGTTGCGGGCATCCGAAATTCTTTATTTTTTAATAAAGGCTAGACCGAGTTCTAAATGAGCTCAATCGACAGCTAAGTTTCGAATTATGTAATAAGTGTTTATTTTATCTCTACGTGTCGTATGAACGGAGATATCGTGATGCGAAATCAAAAATGTCAAAATTTTTACGTAAGATACATCATCATCACAAAAAGTCATTTCCTTTTCATATTTTCGATAGATGACACTAATTTATTGCTCTCATTTTGCGATTTATTTGTCTATAATTTCATTAGCACTATATTATATGTCGACATTTCACTGTACAGTTACATTAATAAGTTATTTTTAAAAGTGTATAAAAATGTAAAAACGAACCGTTTGATCGTGTGAATGTCATTACATATATAGGGTGTCTGAAAACAATCGCCAAATATTTCATGGTAGCTAGAGCAGACTAAACTGAGTCAAAAAGTCCTCTACCATTTTGTAAATTTCCCCAATAATTAATGAGATATTAATCCTTAAATATAGCCGAATACGCGCGCTCGCCCGGCCTACTACTGCGAAATGTATATACCTACCGATCGCTTGGCGCGCAGGCCTTGGGAGTATACCGTTGCAAGCCTCCATAGCTCGGACTTGCCAGGCTATCTCCGCACCTCACAGCTCGCGCGTCAAAGGATTGGTCAGATATATCACTTCGCAGTAGTATTCGGCTATTTTTAAGGATTGATATCTCGTTAACTATTAGGGAAACTTATAAAATGGTACAGGACTTTTCGACTCAGTTTAGTCCGCTCTGCCCATGAAATATTTAGCGATTATTTCCAGATCTGTATATTCTTGCTGTTATCAAATTCGCGACGCTACTACTAGCTTGTCCAAAGTTTTAACATCAACAAACTTTAGATTAAAATTAAAGCCGCAATCAAAAAATCTAAAAATACTTATATTATGTAATGTATCTTTCGATTACGATTATCTGAATAAAATTGATGTAGCCGATACCAAGATCTGGAGATCTTTTCCCAAAAAGGAACTATTTCAGCTTTTCAAATTTTTTCAATCATACTTGTGACACATATATATATATAAAGCGTTTTGTTCATTAAAGCTGCTGTTCACAATGCTTTCATAGAAGTTCAATTTTAATAAAATTAGCAACGAAAGTGAATTTTAATGCGTATAAGGATATACATTTACAAGAAAGAGCGAGCGAGAGAGAGGGGATAAGGGAGGAGGAGAAATGAGGAAGGAGGAGCGAGAAGAAGAGAGGGGGGGAAGGAGAGGGAGAGAGAAAGAGGGGGGGGAGAGAGAGAGAGAGAGAGAGAGAGAGAATGAATGACGATACCTATCACGACGATACCATCATTATCATTGGATGACAATGATGACGACGACATCGGACCACGACGACGACGTCGTGCAACGCGACAATGACGACGATACAGGACGACGACGACGCCGGGCGACGACGACAACGCTGGATGACACTGGGCAATGACATCGAGCAACGATGACAACGATGACAACGATGACGCCGGACAACGATGACGACGACTTTGATATATTGATATAATAAATACGCACATGTATGAAGATATATATTTTTAATCATATAAGATGTTTAACACTACAAAATGCGTGATATCTCAACAAAATTACCTTTTTAAAAAAAGGTAAAAAAAAAGGTTCCAAGTGTGCATGTACTTCTCATAAACCTACAAAAAACTGTCACATAAATTAAAAAAAAAACTGTAACATAAATAATTCAAATGGCAATATTGTTAATTATTTATTATAAATTACCCCTCAGTAGTACATATGTATGTATTAAAAAAATAAAATAAAATAAAATCTTTAAATTGCGCCAATTGTAAAAAGAATATATATTTTCTTGCAACATATAACATATACTATTGTACTTCGTAAATTGCGAAAAAAACATATATTTTATTGAAACATATAACATTTAAGGAGAAAAAATGATACATACTTATCTTTTTATTTGTTTATTAGGTGTACAACTTTGCTTTCGCCGTTTTTTTTCCGAAATTCGAGGCTTTATTGTAAAAAATTGGTTATACATTTATGATTCAAAGTATTGTCCATCGCTGGCCACTACTTTCTCCCATCTTTCGAGTAGCGTACGAATCTCGCGTCGAAAAAACTGATCATCTTTTGAGGCTATCCACGAATCGATCCAATTTTTTACTTCTTCATAAGACCGGAAGATCTTATGAAGAATGCTGGTCAGCCAGGCTGTGTGCCATTGATCGAAACAAATGATAGTCAGAGGGAGCAACGTCTGGAGAATATGGCGGGTAGGGTAGGACTTCCCATTTCAACGTTTCCAAGTATGTCTTGACCACTTTCGCAACATGGGATCGAGCATTGTCATGCTGCAAAATCACTTTATCATGTCTCTCGTTGTATTGCGGCCGTTTGTCTTTCAATGCTCGGCTCAAACGCATCAATTGCGTTCGATACCGATCGCCTGTGATTGTTTCAGTCGGTTTTAACAGTTCATAATACACTACGCCGAGCTGGTCCCACCAAATACAGAGCATGACCTTGGAGCCGTGAATATTCGGTTTGGCCGTCGACGTGGAAGCATGGCCGGGAACTCCCCATGATTTTCTGCGCTTGGGATTATCGTAATGAACCCATTTTTCGTCCTTAGTCACAATGCGATGCAGAAATCCCTTCCGTCTTTGCCTTTCAAGCAGCTGTTCACAAGCAAACAAACGCCGTTCAACATCTCTCGGCTTCAATTCGTACGGCACCCAATTTCCTTGCTTCTGAATCATTCCCATGGCTTTGAGGCGTTTTGAAATGGCTTGTTGAGTCACTCCCAATGATCGTGCCAATTCTTCTTGATTTTGACACGAGTCTTGCTCAAGTAATGCCTCCAATTCTGCATCTTCGAAAACCTTCTCTCTTCCACCGCTATGCCGATCTTCGACGTCAAAATCATCGTTCTTGAAACCACTCACGACACGTTCTTTCACTAATAGCGGCCTCACCATAAGTATTTGAGAGCATTCGATGAGCCTCAGCCGCAGATTTCTTCAGCACATATTGAAGCAAAAAATTAAAACCTCCCGCAAATGACGAGAATTTGGCTCGTAAACTGACATTTTCAATCGAGAATAACTTTATGATGCAGACACAAATCGACTAATGTTTCTATGGGGTTATGTTGACAGATGCTCAAGTTTATTGTATGACGTCTATGATCTATTTATTTCGACCACCACTTACCGCTAAAGCCATCTATAGGAAAACGGAAGCAAAGTTGTACACCTAATATATTTGCAATGGACAACATTTAATCTCAAAAAATTAAAGACGAAGCATCACAAAATGAAAAAATTTTATTAAAATAAAATTTTTTATGTAAAAAAATTTGCACTGCTCAAAATATAATAAAGTGATCATCAAATAATATCTAATAAGAAAAATAATGAAGAGATTTAAGAAAGAAAATGAGATGGACTAATAATATACAGTGTGTATGTATATGTATATATGTAAATAATTAAAAATACCAAATATGAAAAATAATGAAGATATTTAAGAAAGAGAATGAGATAAATTATGAATAATATACAGCATATTCATAATTCATAGGTGCAAGCAAATTCAGATAGGTATGCGAGAGAGATTTCATATAGGATAAGTATTTGTATGGCATGTGTTATATATTGTAAAACCATATATAATTAAAAATAGAATGATTTTAGATTTGTAAGACATGCTATTTAAGTTAGATTTAAAAGTAGATTTAAAATTAATTATAATCTTAATTATAATTGTGATTGTAACTTTAACGTTAATTAATGTTAATTAAACAATAAACATCATTCATTTCTTTTATGTAACATTTACTTATTATATTTTAAGGTCTAGCAGCGCCAAGTTTTTTATATAAAAAATTTTGTTATTTTAATAAAATTTTCTCATTTTGTGCTTCTTTAATTTTTTTGAGATTAAATGTTATATTCCATTACAAATATAAAAAAATAGAAAGGTATCACTTTTTTTCCATAATTAAATGTTATATGTTGCAAAAAAAAATATATGTTCTTTTTGCAATTGTCGCAATTTAAAGATTTTATTTCTTTTTTTTTTATACATACGTACTATTGAGGGATAATTTATAATAAAAAATTAACAATATTATCACTTGAATTATATTATTTATGTTATGATTCTTTTTAGTTTATGTAACAGGTTTTTTTTATAGGTTTAGAGGAAGTACACGCATACTTGGCGCCTTTTCTTTATCTCTTTTTAAAAAAGTTTTTACTTTGAACCGCAATCAAAGTTTATGCAAAACTTTTAGCTCATTTAATTTCGAGTAAATTAAAAAAAACTTTAAAATTGATTAAGAATTTGAGCATCGGCCAAATTTTCCACAAAAACGTTTTTCCGTCTCCCTGTGCCCACGGATAAAATTGATCAAAAAATTGATCTAAAAAAAAATCTGATGTTATTTTTTGAGATACTTGAACTACTTTAGGATGGATTAAATTACAAAAATTGTTAATAACAACTAGCCTGGTACATACGTTATACATTTTATCTTTAACACTAAAAGAATCTAATTAATTTGCATAATAAACGATACTTTAAGTGCAAGAAAACAATTATCCCCAGATCTAATAAAATTTTATAATAAATATTTTAATAAGAACAAAAAAATCACATTTATAAAATAAATAACTACAAATACAATTAAATCATTTAATATAGTTACTCACCTGCCAAAAAAAGCAACTTTCATATGATCTCTTTTAAGAACATCTTTTATTGCTCGTATTTTATCTATGTAAGCTTTAACTTTTATTGCTTCTTCTACAGTTACAATATTCTGATCATTTTGGAATGCTGTTATAAAGTTGGATAAATTAATTGACAATTCAACAAATACGGAGCATCCCAAAAATATAAATTTCCCTATCGTAGGAAAATAAAATGAAAAATAGGATAATTATAAAATCTTTATTTTATGAACTTAATAATTAAGTTATTTTTCAATGTAGTCATTATTAACATTTAAGCACTTATCTTTTCATCAGTATTTTATGCCAGTGGTATAAAAAAACGTGCATTCTTAGATCGACCATAATTTCATTTCAACCTTGACATCATTATCGCTGTCAAAATTTTTGCCATAAAAATATTTTTTAAGTTCAGGAACCAAGTAAAAACTCGGTGCAAAATTTAAAAAGTATGATGGATGACAAAAATCTGACAGGGCCTATTGTTTCGAACCTCGCCATTAATTTCCATGCGACTGAATTAATAAATCGCCATCGTCGAATTATTTGCACATGCATGATTTCTATACATAAAAATTAGTTAACAAAGAATATTTATTGTTTTTTTGTTTTTTGTAGTCCAAAATATAATTCAATTAAACACGTTTTATATTAGTACCTCGTTGATTAAAATTTGTTCAACTAATAATAATTGCAGTAAAAGTGACTCTAAGTGAAAAAAATACTTAAATATTCCAGTGAAAAATTTTTACAATGCATAAGTTATTTGCATAACGGATTTTTTCCCTGGTAGGGAAACTTATATTTGGGATGCCCCTCATAAATAACTACAGTATGATATTTGCTCTATTTGTTTACTTACATGTCATGAACTCCACGGTTTCCTCCACATATTTTTCTATATCCATAAATATATCATTTATCCTTTTCTTTGCCTTAACAAAGATCTGTAGAGGAGAATTATCATTTCTAACATCTGATCGAAGTTGGCTGTCTCCTCCAATCATGGACGATTGAATCATTGCACGATTGATATAGGCAGCCATATTTTTATTTCTAATATGAATGCAATATATTTGGCAAAAATAATAAAAAAGTATGGTGCAAAGGTGTTGCGGATAGACGTCTGTACACAGTGCTCAGCATGCAGGATCAACTGAAATCATAAAAAGCAAAATTTATATACATATATATATATATATA